CCCTCTCCCGGCCGCCTGCTGAGCTGTCACCCACCCCCTACTCTTCTACCCTCGCCCTCAAAATCCCCAATACCCTCTCTCTCTCTCTCTCTCTCTCTGCTCTCCAAAAACCCCCCTCCCCTCTCTCTCTCTCTAGAAATTCTCCGTCCTCTGCTACGATGCCAGGTTGGTGGTCACGCAAATCCAAATCCAAACCCAAACCCGATTCCTCCGCCAGCTGCAGCTCCAGCCCCCGCGACCCGAACCCGATACTGAAAAGATCCAGCAAGAAAGAGAAGGCCAACAGCTTCGATGAGGTTCTAGCGAGGAAAGCTAGGACTCTATCTCCCCTTAACGGGTCCGGGTTCGTCGGCGGAGAACCCGGGTGGCCGAACCCTGCCGCAATCCACCGGCAGAGGCGACGAGCGTGGGCTGACGCGCCAGCGGGTGGCCGAACGTAAACGGCCGGGTCTCGGCCGACGAACCCGAGACCGTTTAAGGGGAGATAGATCCTAGCTTTTCCTCGCCTAGAAAGCCTTTCATCCGAAGCTGTTGGCTTGCTTTTCTTGCTGGATTTTCAGTTATCGGGTTCGGTGTCGCGGGCTGGAGCTGCAGCTGGCGAGGAATCGGGTTTGGGTTTGGATTGATTTGCGTGACACCAACCTGGCATTCGTAGCAGAGGACGGAGAATTTCTATGAGAGAGAGAGAGTAGGGGAGGGGGTTTGGAGGCAGAGGAGAGAGAGAGAGAGAGAGGAGGGTATTGGGGATTTTGATGGGCGGGGGTAGAAGGTAGAGGTGGGTGACAGCTCAGAGCGCGCCGGGAGAGCGGTCGTGGTTTTCATTAGTCTGCACCGACTGTGCGGGGTGCATCCACGGGGGGGCAGTGCGGCGGGGCCCACAAGGCAAAGGTCGGTGTAGGACAGGGAATTATTATTTAAGAGAAATATATTTTACAGCCTCAGTGTCAAAATCCGATATTTCGCAGGATGAATAAACACCTTTGATACTTCTCTCTCTGTCGT